TCTTTAGCCGTTATACTCGATAATTCTGCCTCTAAGGCACAGTCGGTTTCGATCCGTTGAATTATTATTATCAACGACCTCTCTTACGTTACGGTTTTATAACGGTTCTGACATTGCAACTCACTATTTTGACAACAAGAATTTTGTTTCAGATTCATCTCATTCATCGATCGATTTTCCTTTTATACAAATATACATTTATACATTTATCAAGCCGAGCTAGTACTCAGTTTCTTATTTAAAGTAATTAATAGTTACATTAAGTATGAAATCACACGGTGCGGAAAACGATTGCAGAATAGAGAATGCATCATAGAAGCAACTAATCAGCACTATTTTGTGTTATTTCGAATAGTGCTAATTGGTTGTTTCAATGATGCATTTTCTATTCCGCAGCCTTTTTTCATATCATGTGATTTCACTCTAATAATATCTTTTATTTTACTAGAATTTATTGGGTCGGACGTGGTAGTTCTATTTTGATTATTTAACTCTTCCTCGTCGCTGTCTATGTCATCAACAAATAGTTGAGGATGTTTTGTCTGCATGTGATGATATTTCGACCTCTGTTCCTCGTTCATCGTAGAAATCACATTCCAAAAAATCGGAATCATCTGAAAGCATCATAGAATTTATTATGCTGATTCTACAATAAGTCAGTAGTTGGTAGTCCTAAGTTTTATTGTGAATCAGTGAAGTTGGCCAATAGCCAACTTATACGACTAAACTACCAATTTTCTTAAGACTAGCCAAATTCGACTTTATTCCTACTGATCGAGCTAAACGACTCGTATAATTAACAACTTGTAGGTTCGAAAAATCATTATCACCTATTTAAGTTAATGCTAATTAAAATTTACGATTATTGATTACCGACTCAGTGTAAAATTAGCTTTACAGCTGGTTTTAGATTAGGAACATAAATCTCTAATACCGATTGCATATTAAATATTAAGCTATATCTATTAATTTAATATTTACGTTTTTATTATGTATTTACATTATACTTACTCGTACTCCTCGAAAAAGAAGCCATCGCAATAAAATCGGGATAAATGTGGCCGTTTGTATCTCAAAGAAAAAAGTGAAAATTAGAGAACCTCACAGAAAGTGGCAAACTGCATCACATGACTTGACTCCTTTGGATATGGGCAAAGCTCAAAGGATATAGGCATGGAAGAGATTGAAGAAAATTGGTCACCCCGTGACATCCTGACCCCGTGATTCTGATTGGACGTGGGCATTCACGTGATGCAATTTGCTACTTTCTCCCTGTGAGACTTTCTATTTAAAATCGGTCATTTCAAACCGGATAGATTCCTCGAAAATCGTGAATGATGCAAACAGTCGAAAATGGCAAAACTATCCTTCAAATACTAGATGCCTGCGACCATGATACTGCACGCGACCAATATTATAGATCGGTAATAAGGTTCACATTTCGTGAATTTCGTGTTCGCCTGAAATATACACTGCCGCGGTAGTAGGTGTATTCCAAGCATTTTATTTTTATCAAACATATTTTTATATTTTATTTACTTTATTTGTTATTATTTTCTTATTACTAAAATTTGAAAAGCATATAATGACAAAATTAATCTAAATTTTTCTGTATAAGTATTTTAAGTATTTAAAATGTAATTATAAGTTTCGGCGACACAAAAATTAGATGTTTAATAAAATAAGGAAACAATATATTTTGTTAACAATAACATAAATTAAAAAAAGAGCTGATGAATCAAACTGGTTAATTATATGCTTGTAATTATGTTACATCCCGATAAAATTCTCTCTTTTCTTATTATAAATATATGATTTATACCTTATCCTTATCCTATTTCTAGTTTAGTATTTCGTCTTCTTGGTTTTGATATTTTATCCCTATTTTATCTTTATTTCGAAATCTTATCATACCTTTTATATATTGTAAAATTCCTTTCCCTTTTATAAAAGAGTATATTTAGTTCCATTTTATTTAAACATTCAAATCAATAGATAGCTCACGTTTGTATACCCTTATGCGTCATATAGATAAAGAATATCTATTCTACAATCTTTCCTTTTTTTTTTTGAAGGTCCTTTTTCTAAAATAATAATTAAACAATAGCATATATGCTTAATAATTAAGTAGTATTATATATTGTACAATATTAAGTAGTATTATATATTAAGACCTTCCCGAATGCGAGGATAAATATTTTTCTTTTTTTTCTTTTCTTTTTTTTCTTTTTCTCAATAAAATTAAAATTAATTTAAAATTTAGAATATATCATTACTTCGCCTCGCATAAGGATGTTAATTAAGTAAATCGAATTTTTAATTTTAACATAAAACCTAGATTCGTAGTGTCGAGAGTAGGGCTTACGCGGAGCTTTGCTATCTTATCTTAAGAAAACAAGTGCGAGTATAGACGCTATCAAATTTTGAAGCGTGTTGATTGGTCCTAGGAAGACACCCCCACACTCTGCCAGAATATAAAAGAACTGCAAAAGATAGTCAGAAAAATATAATAATCTCGGAGTCCGTTACGACAATAAAGGAATTATCTTCGCAAGGAATTATATTCCCTCATATAAGTTATTTCACGTTTTCTTGCTTGTTGGAAAGATCGCGATTCACACCAAGTCGATACATCGATATCGATCGCCATCTGCAGTACGATGTCAATTCCTTTGTTTCCCGTACTGCTGCGCATTACTCTTCTGTACGACCGTGATCGCACGCGTTTCACTAGTCTGTACCTTCACTCATTAAAAATCCGACTCTCTTTAGTCCGTGCTACCTCCGTATATCGAACACGGTTTCGACAGGTTATGGGCCCAGTCGCGTCCGGGAAAACGATATACGAGTGAAAGTAAGAAGAAAGAGTCGAAGTGAATCGGTTTCGGCCTCTCACGCGGACGATTGGTTAGAGTGACTTGCAAAAATGAGTGCGGCCGGCTCAACGCGCATCAAAGCGCTCGGCAAGGACAACTACGACACGTGGAAGTTGCAAATGCAGGGGGTGCTGATCAAGAATGACGCGTGGGCGTACGTGAGCGGTTTTCTCGCACAGCCGACACACGTGGCCGGAGACGCAGCCCCGGCGAGCGCCACGACACAATGAAAAGTCAACAACAGCAAGGCCAAGTCGGACATTATACTTTCCATCAGTCCCAGCGTGCTGAAGCAGATCAAAGGATGCGAAACCTCGAGGGACGTCTGGCTAAAGCTGGAAAGCATATACCAGTCCAAGGGGCCCGCCCGGAAAGCCACGCTGTTGAAACAATTAACGCTGCAGCGAATGGAAAATAGCGGCGACGTACGCGACCACGTGCGCCGTTTTTTCGACGCAGTCGACAAGCTTGGTGAGATGGAGGTCGACATTCATCCCGACCTGCTGTCTATCATGCTGCTCTACAGCCTGCCGTCCAGCTATGAGAACTTCTGGTGCGCGATAGAATCCCGCGACGAGCTACCGTCACCGGAAACGCTACGCGTAAAGATCGTCGAGAAAAGCGACGCGAGATCGAGCGACGCAGCTTGAGCCCCCGTGCAGAACGCGCTATACGCCAACAAAGGCGGAAAGAAGGCGCGGAAGCCGAGACGACCTACCACCAGGAAGGAAGACGCCGCTGCGGGCAGCGAGTTCAAGTTCCGCTGCCACAGGTGCGGCACCGTGGGACACAAGGCGGCCAAATGCACGAAGAACGTCATGAGTGAGAACGACTCGCGCGAGAAAGAGAAGAAGAGCGAGGCAACGAGTTTGCGCGCGTTGGTATGCCCGAGCGCAGGGGGGGGGGCGCGCTGCGCACCGAACACACGCACCGCGACGTGCGATGGTGCCTAGACAGTGGCGCCACCTCCCACCTGAGTAACTCGGCACTCGACTTCGACACGATCCGTGCCGAAAAAGGTATCGAACTGAATTTGGCAAACGGCTGCTCAACGAGCATACGCGCGAGAGGTGAAGTATCCCTAAGCGCAAACGTCCTAGGTAAGGTCAAAGATTTTCGTTTGATCGACGCCCTACATGTTCCTGACCTGCGCACTAACCTCCTGTCAGTCGGAAAGATCACTTACAAAGGCTACAAGGTCATTTTCAACAGGGACACGGCCACCGTTTGTGACAGCCAAGACGTCGTCAAACTGGTCGCCGATCGCTTGAACGGATTGTACTACGTACGCGATGCATCGAGCCGTTAAAGCAATGGAGTGGGGGAAGCAGCTTGCCATTCCACGGATGTCGAATCTCTCGAAACATGGCACCGACGACTGGGTCATCTGAATGAGAGATACTTATTGGATGCTGTAAGGGACCAATCGATGCTCGGCATCAAACTCTCGACACCCAAGGGGAAGTTGGCATGCAGCACTTGCGTGAGGGCCAAGATGACGAGACCCCCTTTTGTCAAAAAGAGTGACCGCGTCACGCAAATATTGGAGATCGTGCATTCCGACGTATGCGGCCCTATGCGCATCGAATCGCACGGACGAGCGAAGTACTTCGTCACCTTCATTGACGACCATTCCAAGTGGTGTGAGGTACGTTTCTTGAGGTCCAAGGGCGAGGTCACCGACGCTTTTAAGGAGTATAAAGCTCGGATGGAGAACAGGAAGATCAAATACCTCCAATCGGACAACGGGAAGGAATACAAGAATCTCGCTTTCGACACCTTCCTCGCCGAGCATGGGATCGCGAGAAGGCTGTCGATGCCCTATCATCCGGAACAGAACGGGACTGCCGAACGGAAGAACAGAACCCTGCTGGACACAGCGAGATGCTTGCTGTTACAGTCGGGACTTCCCGGATCGTTTTGGGCCGAAGCCGTCTCGACGGCAAATTACATTAGGAATAGAACTCCCAGTTCCAGCCTCGGGGGCAAAACCCCCTTCGAGATGTGGACAGGAGGAAAACCAGACGTGTCACATTTTCGCGAATTTGGTTGCAGGGCATTCTGCTTGGACACGGAACCCGGCAAAGGGAAGTTCGACCCTCGGAGCAATATTCCTGGGATACTCCGAATCTTCGAAAGGCTACAGGATGTGGTCAGTCAAGGAGAAAAAGGTCATCCTTTCGCGCGGTATGACTTTTGCAGGCGCTCCTGAGGATGTGCCGACCGCGCCTGAAAGCATCTTCCCGAGGGATCCTTACCCGGAAGCTGAGACAGATGAACCTCCTTCCGAGATTAGGATGATCGAGGTCGACACGACGCCGCTCAATGTCGACGCAATTGACCACGTGCCCGGCGGACCCGAAGACCACGCAACCAGTCACGTTTCTAACAGCGACGAGGAGGCGCCTCGACCTCAGCGGGGAAGGGGTCCTGGGAGGCCTCGTATAATTCGTACGGGACAGCGAGGACGTCCCCGCCGCCAGCATCAGCCACCTCGAGAGGATGCAGAATTCGAGGAACCGGACCTAGCGAATCTGGCCGAAGTACCGCTCAGGTCCGCCATGCACAGCAACGATGCGGAACATTGACTGAAGGCCATAGTTTCGGAAGTCGAATCCATCCTTCAGCATGACACATGGAAGTTGGTCGACCGTCCCAAGGACAAAGAAGTCATCGGGAGCCGCTTTGTGATTCGAAACAACACACACCACTCCGACGGAGCCCTGGAAAGGAGAAAGACTCGCCTCGTGGCAAAGGGTTTCGCACAGCGCCCCGGCTTTCACTTTAACGAGACTTTTGCGCCGGTGGCGCGCATGAGCTCAATTCGCTTGCTGACGGCATTGAGTGCTCGACGTGGCATGCATATCCGGCACTTGGATATAGCTTCAGCTTATCTGAACGGAGACATCGACGAGGAGCTGTTCATGGAGCCCCCGCAGTTGTTGGAAGACGCTCTGAGAACCATATCAACTGACCGGTCCAACGGCAAGGCCATGAGAGAAAAGGCTGCCTCGATGCTCAAGGAAATGCAGACTGGAGACAAGGTATGCCTACTCAGGAAGGCCTTATACGGTCTTCGACAGGCCGGTAAGAGCTGGCATCGAACACTTGACTCGTCCTTACGAAGAATCGGCGCGAAGCAGACGAACGCCGACCCATGCGTGTACACCATGGATGGGCGAAACGGACTCTCGTATATTCTGGTCTACGTCGACGACATCTTGTTTTTCTCGAACGAACCGGACAGATCCGAGAAATTCAAATCGGAATTAAGTCGCGACTTCGAGGTAAAGGACCTTGGGGACATCAAGTATTGCCTGGGGATGGAATTTTCCCGGAGAGAAGGCAGTATCATCATAAACCAACGAGGATACATCAGAGATGTGATGAACAGATTCGACATGGAGGACTGTAAGACAGTTAGCACGCCCGTGGACATTCATTTGAAGCTGAACAAGCCGAATCGCGAGGCAGACGACGAGGTACGTAAACTGCCATATCGCGAACTAATAGGCTCTCTTATGTACCTAGCTGTATGCACCAGACCCGACATCGCCCACGCCGTAAGCTATCTCAGCCAATTCAACGAGAACTTCGGCAAGGAACACTAGGCGGCAGGGAAGAGTATCATCAGGTACCTGAAGAGAACTATCGACGCTGGAATCGAATTCAAACCGAACTCGACCACCTTGAACGGATTCGTGGACTCCGACTGGGGGGCCTGCCCTGTAGACAAACACTCATACACGGGGTACATCTTCCTCTTGAACGGAGGGCCCGTTTCCTGGGATTCGAAGAAGCAAAGGACTGTGGCACTTTCTTCGACAGAGGCCGAATATATGGCCCTAAGCGAGGCCACCAAAGAATCGATATACCTGAACA